TGGAGAAGTATTCAAAGTGTTCAAGTTGATCTAACTTGCTTAAGTTGTATGGAACTGCAGAAGGGACACGTGATGGACACTATGACTCAGCATGTGGTACAACATTTCGATCTTTTCTCAACAGACCAGACTGTTACATTTTCGAGTATGTTCTGCAGAAGATTTGTTAAATATTTTATTGTTATTGATTAAACAATATAATTAGGTGATTTGTTTGACAGTTGGATTAAGATTAATTCACATTTAAATGGATATTTAAATTTGAATTTAAATTGAAATAAATCATATTTTGTTGGAGAGATTTAAGGAACAAATAATATATAACAAGTTCTGCATTAATTCTGGACGAAATCAAATCAAATATTCATGAAGAAAAGCCCAGAATCATTATTATATATAAGGAGCTCAAACCTAATTTGGAATTCAATCATTCACATTGAAGATCTTAGAGTTCTAGGTTTACAAGAGTTCTTTCTGTTTTTATGTACGCCACTATGTTTCAGTAACTTGGCATAGCAGGTTTGTCAAGTGAGTTGTAAGATTCAACATCACCCATAGTTGTGGTTGAGGTTGATCACTAGAGTTTAGTGATTGAAAATCCAAACACTTGGATTAGTGTTTGAGAGAAATTAAGAGTGGTTCTCATATTTAGGGGGAGACCTGTCGCATTGCAAAAAATATAGAGTCGTCACCGAACTTTATTTATTCTGAAGAAAATGGTCTTCGCAACCAAATTTAGCTTCGAAAGTCGATTATGTAAGGGGAAGGTATTAGCACCCCTCACATCTGTTCTACTAAACGGGAACCGTTTTGATTGTTTTGCATGGAAGGGTGTTGTTATCTAAAAGTTTACTTGTTATGAATGATTATTGGATTTAATTAAGGGAAAAAAGTTTTTAGTTAGTGTGCTAGCCAAGATTTTGAAATTCTATGCCTACGTATCCTCATAGTTCAGTGAGAAAATCAGAGCCTTGTAGTTCGTGGGGTAGAAAATAAGTGTTTGTTGGACGATATTAATGTTCATATTCTAGCAGTTATACATTGCTTGTATGCTCGTGTTAATTCTTTGTTTTGTTATGATTGATATTATGTTTGGTAAAACTAACTTAGCATAGACATGTTGGATGAAGATGTTTTATTAACTGGAGCAACATGTCGAATGCAATGTCCTGTGCAGTTTCTTTCAACATCATGATTTTGTATAGCTAGACTGTTGGATATATTAGTTTGTTACAGGTGCCGAATATTCTGTAAATACTATGTTGTCCTATGTGGCGCATATGTTGAAGATTAAAAAGATTCAAGCCGATTTTGAGGAGAATTGTTAGTTGCTAATTATGGAGATAATTTAGGAAACTAATAATTTATGTCCTATCTTTGAGGATATAATTATACAGTGCCTCTGTCATATCTAACTGCATATGTGAAGCCCAAATTCAGTTTATTGAAGATTATAAATAGAAGGCTTCAATCCTAGTGCAAGTGTGGAACTTACTGTGTATTTTTATTAGGGTTTTTGTGTTTATTGTGAGCCTCTCGATTATCATCTTGATAAAAGAGTAGGAATTTGTTATTGAGTTATAAGTTTTGTCAGTCATTCTAAATCTTTTAAGAAGTGAATGATTGCATGTCTTTAAAGTGTGACTTATGTTATTTTCTAAGTGTTTAGAATTTTTTAGTCACTGATATGTGATTGGAAGGGATTTGAGAAAGGTTTCGTACCTAGGTGAGTCTTAGATAGAAGTTAAGCAATGGTGGTGATTAAATAAGAAGTTATAAACTTGGATTGTTTAGGCTTCCAATTTATATTATCTAGTTGATTTATCCCTGGCTTGGTAGCCCTCAGAGTAGGTGTTGTTGTACAACAAACTGAGTTAACAATCCTGTGTGTTCTTTACTTTTCTACACTTTGTTTATCAGATACCTTGTCATTGTGTGTTTGTTCAGAGAAAGGTATGTCGACATCTTTTAGGATATCTTAGATCTGAATACCAGAATTTCAGCTTGCACATGAGAGACTTAAGTGTATGTTTGTATTGCGGTAGAACAAAAATAAAATATCCTTTTTTAAAAGGTTTTTAGTTGCCCTAAGGCGAAAAAGAAGGCTTGATTGGTTGAGATGGATTTTAATGTGGGAGACAAGTATCATACCACAAGCTAAGTACAATCGACAATCCAAGTACTCGAGAAGCTAAAAGGATAATAGAATCCTAGCCTCTCATTTTTCATCCTCAATGGTTTTGTTTATGAAATTTGTATGGTGAGTTTAATTATTGATACTCAGGGAGACAAGCATCTAACCACAAGTTAAGTACATTTGGAAATCAGAATACTCGAGAAGCTGAAATGACAAGTGCATCTTGTCCTCTCATTTTTCATCCCATAAGGACCGGATTAAACTCGTTTATTTTCAAGTGTTTTGAATGGAATACATGCATTGGGCCGCAAGTTAAGTACAAATGAAAACCCAAGTACTTGAGAGATGGATTACACAAGTGCGTACACACCATCCTTTTTTATTCGGTTTATTGTAAACATGTTTTTGAAAATGACTTGACGTTGAATAAAGTATTTGGAGCTTTTGTCAATTAAGTGAAGTGAATGAATGAAGTACTTGGTGTTGGACCAAGCACTCGCATGGTGTTCAATTGAATTTGATTTTGAAAACACTTGACGTTGGATAAGTTTCTTTTTGTCTTTTGAAAAAAATGTTATTTTTAATGTTTTTTGATTTATGTTAAGTTAATGGACGTGTAAAGGAAAATGATAAGGGAAAGTAAAACTAAACTATTACACGTTCATGGGATCAGGAGACATTTTATTCACAATAGGAGGATGACAATACTAAGCTATTAGACATTCATGGGGATCGGGAACATTTTATCCACAATGGGGGAATGGATCATAAACCATGCAAAAATCAAAATTTATACAAACATACAAACCATACACCATGTAATGTACCAAATTAACCATAAACCAATGTAAAATTAATTCAACAAAGGTGATAAAATACCAAGCCGAAATTGATACAAATGTAATGAGAAACTAGTGAAATACATGTGTGTTTGCACGGGTACTGGTATGATATGCGCATTTGTTTCTAAAATATAATAAAATAAAATAATTTTTTTAAAAGAAATAATAAATCGGTGTCTATAATTCTTTCAATATATAAAAAAATTTGAATAAATAATATATAAGTCGGTGTCTATAATTCTTTCAATATATAAAAAAATTTGAATAAATAATATATAAGTCGGTGTTTATAATTCTTTCAATATATATATATATATATATATATATATATATATATATATATATATATATATATATATATATATATATATATATATATATATATATATATATATATATATATATATATATATATATATATATATATATATATATATATATTTTATATATATTATTTTTGTTTTAGAATTGTTGTAAAAAATATTTAAACCAATAGTAAAGTTGTTCTATTATCAATCAATATTTTGAACAGTAATTTTATGTCCCCGTTAGTATTCAATATTTTGATCAGTAATTTCATGTTTATGTTATTATTAAATATTTTGATCAGGAACTTGTCTCCGTTAATATTTAATATTTTGATCAGTAACTTCATGTTCTCGTTAATATTCAATATTTTGACCAGTAATTTAATATTTTAATATTCAATATGTTGATGAGTAACTTCATGTTCCCGTTAATATTTATTATTTTGATTAGTAACTTCATGTTCCCATTAATATTCAATAGTTTGATCAATAACTTCATGTTCTTGTTAATATTCAATACTTTAATTAGTAATTTCATGTTCCCGTTGATATTCAATAGTTTTATCAATAACTTCATGACATAAGAATATTGGAACAATAGTTTGATATGATTATCCGCCGTTCATAGGGTAATAGTGTGTTGCTCGTGCGTTCGCATGAGTATTTGTGTGTTACGTACATTTATTTTTAAAGATATAATAAAAAATAAAATAAATAATTAAAAAACAACACATTTTTCTCGTATTTGGATTAATATATTATTTTTAATTTTGTTTTCCTTAATTGTACAAAAAATATAATAACTCGTGTGTCCGCACGCGTACTGGTGTGGTACTCACGCTTTTGTTTTTAAAATATAAAAAATGGTAAATAAGAAAAAAATAGTTTTAATAAAATAGTTTATTATTTTTAAAATAAATACATATTTTTAAAATACAATAAAAATTATATCAATTTTTAAAAGAAAGAGATTAATAATGTATATTTCAACTATTCATATATTATCTTAAAAACTATTGTATTTTAAATTGAAAATAACTTCAAAAAAAAATATTAGATACATAAATAATTTAAAAATAATACATTTTTGTCGTGTTTGGATTCATATATTATTTTAAATATATTTATTTTTATTATCTTTAATTATATAAAAAAAATATAATAATCCGTGTATTCACACATATTTTGATCTGATTACACGTGCGTTCACACGGTATTAGTGTGTTACCCTTATTTGTATATTGTGTTTGGATTAATTCATGATTCTTACTTTTATTTTATTTTATTGTATAAAAAATGTAATAATGTGTGCGTTCGCACGAATTTTAGAATGGTTATTCGTGCGTTCACACGGTACTTATGTGTTACATGTAGTGTCGTACGCACGCTTTTGTTTTTAAAATATAATAATTAAAATTTTTGGAAATATATTTCTTTATGCCATGTTTCTATGATCAAAACCATTAGAAAATAAGCTGGTGGTTAACTAAGGTTTTAAAAAACGGATTCACAATTTCAAATTGGCTGAACGTGACCAATTTGAGAAGAATATTGTGATTTAGTTTCTCGATATATTCTACAAGCCTTAAGGCTAGAAATGAAGTTGACAAACCATTTAGCTTGTGATGTAGCTTGATAGAACTAATGAATTTTGATTACATCGTGGATATATTTTTTAGAATTAGAATATCCAAATCCTTCCTGAATCCTTGAATGTTTCTTACTCCTTGCATAATCTTGACGACTTCTCCAAATAACATGTCCAACATATTCTTCAGTGTACAAATTGGTGGAGTATTACCTGCCTATGAGATCACATCACCAAAATACTTCCAATTAAAGGTAAAAGAAGAAATGAGATTACATCCCCATAATATTTCACATCCAATGCCAAATACACCAATTCATAGTTGGCTCACAATACTGCATCAATTGCACATGAGATTCAAAAGTATTATGATGTAGTCAAACAATAACATAGTTTCAGTCCTCGTTTCTGGCAACTGCATATGACCTTTTATCTCTAAAACCACACAGTAACATAAGAATGACTCAATCAGTATAAGAGAATGCAGATGAGAGTAATGGCTAATTGTTTTTGAACCTGAAGAAAGATAGATTTCCATCCTGAGTACAAGTCAACAACACAGGTCCTCGAGCATGCAAAGAGAAACTCCTATATTATACTGTTGTGACCGGAGATCGGTGTTAGCTACTACTTCGATAAAGATGAGAGCATGATGATATACCTGGTGCATAATGTCGATCCATTATCCAACATATACCTGGAACATGAAATAGACTAGGTTACTTAAAGGATGATAAAATTCAGCCTCGAGTCCATAAAGTTAGCAAATCATTTTCCATGATACAAAAATGGTACATAATAGCATAGGGCATGACATATAACCCTTAATATAAAACTTCAATAAAATGGCATGGCATATACCAGCAGAAATAAACTGCACCTAGCGCTGATGCAATCTTCGATTATGGTGCTTCAGCTGATGCAACACGCAACATTTCAGCATCTACTATGTTCAAATTGATGGAAAGATATCAACACCTATTTGAGCATGCACTATGGGATCAAATTTTTCCTGAACATCATAGATGTTAATGTTAGTCATTTCCAACAGATCAAATTTTTCCTGAACATGATAGATGTTAATGTTAGTCATTTCCAACAGATCAAATTTATCAAGGAAACTATAACTATATACTCACATGACAGATAGCAACAACCTTTGAAAGTAATGCCATTATTTCTGCATGATCAAGCAACTTCCAGTTAATAATCCTCCATTTTACATTAAGACAAGAATTAGTTTCTAAACCTTTTTCTGCATGATGAAGCAACTTCCAGTGATACAAATTACATATGACATTATATGTATTTTATAACCTGCGCAGAATATAGTAACACAACATGCAAGGAAAATAAAGTTGCAACATAATATCTCTCTATAAAATAAGCATTACACATTTACACATAATATCTCTCTATAAAATAAGCATTTACACAATTAGAATCAGCATTTATTATTTGACATGATGAGAAAATGTTAAGTAGTTGGGTAAATTTAAGTTATAACATAGATCAACAACAACACCAAAAATTAACTCACAACCCTTTTTCGCATTAGGATTCCCGTTGAGCCAAAAAGAGAACACCTTCTCACTGACAAGATTTAGTTCCACCATATTGTACCTGTGATTTTATGATAGTAGGGGTAAATTTAAGTTATTGCAAATATATATAGGTATTTACTAAAAGTGGCTTAAGCAAATTCCAACAATGTCTGGCCCTACCTCCCTGTTGCGTCTTCAACAACATCAGAGGTAGCAGCATCTAGCTTCATCTACTCAACTGCAAGAAAACTCTATGACCATAAGCCAACAATAATTGTCCCAATTGATGCAGCAGAAATCCATGGCCTGGCCTCAGCTTCATCAACATCAACATCAAATACACAAATATGCAGGCTTTAGATCTTCATATGTAAATGGTAAGGAATTCAAGGCATAAATCGGTATGTATAAAGACAGAAATGAAAATATACTGTTTCATAAAATAAACTGGAAAAGATGTTCATAATTTAACATAATATCTAGGATATAATAACATTGAGTTCTTCAAATAATCTCTATATACCATGTACTATACATGCAGATTTCACATATGACTATAATTAAGGGAATACCATGTACTGCACATACATGTACTGTACCTGCATCATAAAGGAAACAAACATCATGACCACAACTCAAGCACCTCACAAAGCCAAAAGCATCCATCAATACCATGAACATCAATCATCAGAATATATGACATAATATCTTTGCATGTCACTGTTATCTTTTCATTGTCTCCAAATCTTCCTTTTCCTTTTTGAATAAAAAATTCAAGATTTAGGACAATAAGTCATACCAAGTTAATGACATTTTGCAAACCTTGATGGAATTTGATCTTTGAGAAAGATATTGGTTCTTTGCCTGTCGTCATACGAAACTATTTGAGAGAGAAGATCATTTAGATTATAGGATTGTACTCCTTTGTCTATTATGTTTCACTGATTATACAAACCGATAAGAGTGCGGCCTAGAACTTTCACAAAGTTGTATAAACCATCAGCTTTACTCTGAAACCAAAACCACATAATCAAAATACTCAAAAAATTTATAACTTCGTGACACATTCTGGATGATAAAAGAAACAGCAGGTTGCAGAAGCATATTTGAAGACCTGAAGGAAAATTTTAAAACAACTTTCATTCTTGTAGAAAATAAAGAAGCTATAAACAATAACTATCACTGAATAGAATGAAAATATTCTTGTGAGCTCTATTTGGGAGCTCAGGCGAAGTAGTGCTTGTTTGGATGCAAGGTGGGTGATGCAAAAAATGATTTTCCTCCTAAAAACGTAATTCTGGCATGTATGAGTCTGTTTGTATGTAAGAGACTATACTAATAAAGAGGGTTGAGCTTTATGAAGTCTATAAGGAAATCCATTCAGCTAAGAATGAAAGAGTAATGCTCATAACTGTAAATTACCCTTTTCATCCCAAATGATGCCACATTGAGCATAATGAATCATGTCAAATGATAATGATGGAAACAAAAGTTGTCTTGCAATGAAGTTACCAATCATGGCAGGAAGGCCTCTCAAAAGAGACAATTGAACTTTGCTTCAAGTTGTCTCATATCTCGCAACATAAACCACCATAATGTTAAGTGACAACAAATGAGCGCCAAAGCTACCAAATCCACAATTAATGTCCAACGTTGTTCGAACCTGTTATATTATGAGCCAAATAGATCATTCACAAATATTATGCAACATAAAGACCACAGTCCTCAATGAGAATCAAGAAGAGGATATAGGTGGCTTAATAGCATAATCTTACTTAATGTACTCTATTATGCACAAACCCTGTCCTCGTAAAACACTATGAATCCCCAAAAAACAACAATTAGGCGAATATGGTGAATGGAAGACTTACACCAGCTTGATGGAGCTCTGCATCACTTCCTAGCTCTATCATCTCTGCAATTTAACAAATTTAAAATGAGATTCATGGAATGATTTTAGGGAAGAATATAAATACCAAAAATTGCACTATTTACTTACACTGTCAAATCCTCATCGAAGATTAACATTAGGTGTAGAAAACCTTGAATGTTTTGAGGAGTCCATAAAGGAATCCGGGTCATCGGAAGAAAAATCAAATTCAAATTTCAAAAATATATAAAAAATGGTAACTTAACATCACAACACTCACCACAGTGACAGACTTGTTGTAAAACAACGCCAGATGGTAAGAACAACCCCAAAAAATAAACATAAATGATATATGACGTCAAGGTGACACAAGAAAATGAAACAATCATGTTAGATTTAAAATCCTTGAATAAGCCTTGCACGCAAACTTCCATGGAAAATCACATCCTTGGGGAACTTATATTTTAATAATGAATATAATAATAGAATAAAAACCACAGTGATAGTAGAATGATTAGGGGAATAACCTTGCATTATGTCTGGCCCAAGTTCTCTACAGGTTCTTCTCTATCTCACACCTTCTCTCTTTCAGCCTTCATATGTAATAAAAACACCAAAATAAAGAATATTTTAAGTAAGAACATGCCAAGGTTTAAATATATACATGATCCGGGTTATCGATGTCGAAGAAATTGTATCAACTCTTATTTGTTTATTTTTTTGCCCCAAGTGTTTATCTTATACACTAGTATATGAAAAAAGATGATCCCCTGAATCTGCAACTAATTTAAATGGGGCCTCATGACGAGTCTCTAGAGACAATGGATGAGATTACAAAACCGATGTAAGTGAAAAATCAATCGGCGTGGGTTTAGTAGGTCTCCACAAGCAAAATTTATCATCAACTAATCCCCACTTGAAGGTAGGGGTGTGCAAAAAACTGGTTTACACGAATCAATTTTAAAAATTCAGTGTATCAATTTTTATAATTCAATTTGTGTTGGATGTGAACCGCTTCAGATTCATTTTGATATCAAAACAAAAATCTGGTTTTCATTTATGATAATTAGTTGGCATACATAAAATCAAATGTATATGATATTATTATTAATAAATAAGATATTATTAATGCACAAGAAATTCAAATTCGTGTAAACCAATTTATATAATATTCAAATTGAAAATGGAAAACTAATTTATATATTTTATTTTATTTATTATTAATTAGTTAATTAGAGTGGTGATTAGTTAAGGGAAGAAGAACTTATTAAGTTAATTGTGATGAACGATTGTTAATCTGTATTTTTTTGTTTAACTGTTATAGTGTAGCAATTGTTTTGAAGCAGATTTTGTCTTGGTTTTAGGATCTTTTGTTTTAGTTTTTTTGGGTTCTAGTTTTAGTGTTCTGGTGCAACTTTATCATAGATTAAAGTGTAATGTTTTTACTCTTAAATTGAATTTTACTTTTTTGCTTTTCAAAAAAATTGTGAAAAATGATTTGTGCTGGTGTTTGAATATAATAGTATAAAAATGACACATGCCTTTGCATCTTGTTCCCTTCATTAACCTGAATTTTTTTCGTCTCTTCAAATTAAGAAAGATACAATTTCCTTATAAATCAATTTTGATTGAAAACCGGTTTAAACCGATTTTGAACCGAATTGAAACCATTTTGCAATTTTAAATTGGTTATTATAAAAAATGGTTTAGTTTTAAAACTACGACCATTAAAATAGATTAGTTCTTAAAATTTGGTAACCATGCACACCCCTACTTGAAGGCAAGCTATGTTTCACCCAACCAATCATATGCCGCAAACACTTTCAAGTCCTTCACTAAAATATCCATAGCTTTCGCTTGATCTTGCCTGAAACATTTATTTCCAACTTAACATCAAACCAACAATATAGAAATTCACAAAGCAGAAAGCAAATTAAAAAAGACTTAACACAAGTAATCTGATTGTCTAACGCTTCTAAATACTCTTGCTTCCGTGTCTCAAAGAATATCTTCATCGAGTATCGATTATCATCTACCTTAGTAAAACCAGACAAGTACTTTTCCACCTCACCCACTCCCCATTCGTTACCATTTTCTCGAAATACCTCATATTAAAGAAAAAACTTGATTCCTGCTCCAACCTTCACACTCACAAATTCACAAATTCAAATAAACAATATAAGTTGAATGATCAAATAAATAACTCAATAAATTATAATAAATTCATGAAAATAAACACACCTATGAACATAATCCTTGAATTTCTCTTCATCTAGAAACTGAAGTATAAGAAAAACCAGTTCTCTGCCAAGCGAAAACATAACGTTGACGCCTGAAAGATCTAAACCCCGAACAGATCAACAATATCTGAAGCATAGAAACGACGAATTTCATAATAAAGAGCCTTCTCTTGAAATAAACGAAAAAAATAAAACGACATTAAAATCAATAATTGAATTATCATAATAATCAAATTAACTTCGATAAACTATGCAAATCTACTCACAACATCAGACGATGTTGTAAACACAATCAAACATAAACACAACGATAAACAATTATAATTAGAAATCAATTAGGGTTTAAATATAAAAAAGGGGATTACCGTGAATTTTGATGATCAAAATTTTGACCGTACATCAATGATAGAACAACATAACATCTCTTAATCAAAGGCCATCGACAATTTTCTGAGACGGCGACATCGTTATTAGGTAGTGGATACTTGAAGTTGTTTCTGTAGCAAATGAAGAGGAAGAAGAGAAGACGGGAGAGAGAGGAAGAGGAAAATGAAGAAGAAAACAGATTCATAGAGAGAGAAAGAGGGAAAGGATAAGAAAGAAAAAAGAAGAGAAATTGTTTTAAGTAAACCGTACGTTGTATGAGAAATGCAATTATTGTAACGGCCAGGTTATGTGGAGAAATTGAAAGAGAAAGAAAATTTTAGAACAAAAGAAACAAAAGATTTGATAACTCCTCGTGAAGCCACGTGTTGATTTTTGAAAGAAAAGAGTTGATTTTCTTATATTGTAGATGTACCAAAATGAATGTAAAATATACTAAAGAAAATTAGCATACAATACAACCATATAGAATTAAAAAAAACAAATGAAAGAAATATAGCTAAAATTATTCTAGAAAAATATCATAAAAAATTAAAGAACTATCTAAAAAAGTTTAAAAAAAAGAGTATGTATCATGTAATATGCATTGTTGAAAGAAAAAAAAGGTAGAAAAAGGATAATGGACTGAAAGAAAAAGAAAAAAATCTAAGTCTGACCCAATATTGCATTATAGTGCAGAATTTAATTAAAAAAAGGTAGGGTGCAAAAAAGAAAATGGTAGAATAAGAAATCTATCTATCTTCTATTATCAATCTATTAAAAGTAAAGTACCTGGAAATTCCAAGTCTAACCTTTTGATTAGATGTTATAACTTTTCTTATTCCAAGGGTATAATAGACTATTATCAATCTATTAAAAGTAAAGTACATGAAAATTCCAAGTCTAACCTTTTTATTAGATGTTATAACTTTTCTTATTCCAAGGGTATAATAGACTAATCAACATTATGCTGTTACCATATTCATTTGGCATTTAATTTTGCTGACATGTCAATCTATCATAATTTTACACTATTTTTTATTTATTTGATTTATTAATTTATTTTATTTATATTTGAATTTTATTTATATTTGAATTCCAATTCCAATGTTTCATTCTTTTTTGACAGAATTTGAATTCTAATGTTTGACTCACGGTTAATGAGGAAGGAATTAGAATGGCCAAATTAGATCTATTATAATTAAATGGAATATTATTCATTGCATGATTTAACAATACTCACTATTTATCATTACACTACAAGATTAAATGTATATTATTGGAATTAGAATGGATTATTTTGATATTCCAAGATATCACAACTTCCCATGCATTCTAAACCCTATATATAGTCATTCTAAACCCTTACTCTTTCACTCCTCAATCTTCTTCATTCTCCATTATTTTCAAAAGGTTACGTATTATTTTCCAATTCTTCTTCATTCCCATATTTTGATTCTCTGTGTCCATTTTAATACAGATTTTGTAACAGGTCTAAATAGTAACATCAATGGCGCGACCGATTGAAGCTGTGAAAGACATCAACGACTCAAACATTTAATTTTGCTGACATGTCAATCTATCATAATTTTACACTATTTTTTATTTATTTGATTTATTACTTTATTTTATTTATATTTGAATTTTATTTATATTTGAATTCCAATTCCAATGTTTCATTCACGGTTAATTTATTTATATTTGAATTCCAATTCCAATGTTTCATTCACGGTTTATTTATTTATATCTATTCCTCTCATTTGTTGTTTATGTTTTTTTAGATGCACTATCTATTTTTGAATGTATATATGATGAAGGTTCAAAAGGTCTGTCTCTGGGAATATGGAAAAGTACATTTGAGTTTAAAATTTGAATTATTGTAATTATAAATTATGTATTATGATTAATTGATAAAATAATTATGATTTATGATTATAAGTATCTTAAAATCATATAAATTATGATTAATGATTTATTGCAAAATGATAAAATAATTTTCAAAAAAATAAATATTCTAAAATGAGTAATGATTAACTTGAAATTAAATATATAAAGTGAATCATTAAAATCGATAAAATTTTCTATCATTTTAAAACAAATTTATTAAAAAATATTAGCAAAATTGTGATTTGTTTAAAATTTTAAGTAAGTATTATTATAGTTTAAATAATATTTGTTACTAAAATATATTAAAAATCATGTATTTTTATGAAATATTATTAAAAAACATGTATTTTTAAGAAATGTTAATAAAAATCGTCTCATTTTTATTAATATTTCTTAAAATACTTTATTTTGAATATTTCTTAAGAAAATACTTTTGAAAGAAACTATTATACGTATGATAACTTTACAAAGAGTTAATTGATCAATTAATTCAATTAGATCATTTTCAAAAGATTAATCGATTCATTGAAATTCAATTAAATTGAATTAATGAAAATAAAATATATAATATTGATATAATTTTAAATAGCATTCAAAAAGTATTTTAAGAAAAAACTATATAATTTTGAATGCTATTGATATATTTTAAAATAATTTAGATTTTTATAAAAAGTTTAATAAAACAAAATAAAATCAATTGAAATTCTATAATTTTTTAAAACTTATTAAATAACTAAAATTTATGAGAATCTTTTCAATGGTAATCATGATAAAAAATATTAAATGGTAGTCATGAAAATTTAATGATAAATGGTAATCATAAAAAATTAATGATAAAAAGTAAAAATTTAATGATACAATTATTTCTATAAATAGAATAAGTTACAATTATTTTTATACAAGAGAATAACTTACAAATATTTTTATAAATGGACACACGAGTTCAATGTGTTTATAAACGCAAAGAAAGTTAGAATAACTTTATAAACGCGAATAAGTTACAAATATTTTTATAAAGGATAAAAATTGAAGTATTAAAACAATTATTTTTAACATGAATAAATTAAATTTTACTTTATAAATTATCACACACGTTCAAGTCCCTTATAAACGGGAAAAAGTCTATATGTTGATATAAATATTTTTATATACGGAAATAAGTTACAATAATTTTTTTAAACTAGAATAAGTTACAAATATTTTTATAAACGAAAAAAATTCAATTTATTATTCAATTATTATTATAAATCGGAATAAATTACAAATATTTTTTTATAAATAGACACACGAGTTCAATGTGCTTTCTATGTTTGTAACTATATAAATGTTAATTAACTGAATAAATATATACAAATTTGATAAATGAGAGTGAGAGACGTATAATGTGAATTCAGACGGTAATCGTATGATAGCACAAGTTTCTTACTATTTAATGTTGTTAATTTCATATTAATTTCTAATGCACCGGTTTTCTAAACGTCGTTTTTAAAGACTTTTCATTGCTATTTTCAGAATATACTATTTCAAATTATTCTATTTTTTTCTTGTATATAATTAATGTTTTTTACTAATTCTAAATTATGACACTTAAATTACATTTTTGCTAACTCTATAGTTTTCTTCTATTAATTGTTTCTTATTCAATTCTTATATTATATAATTTAACAATAAAGACTTAATACTCTCTTAGTCAAATATATTAATCTAAGATTTCTTTTTAATTTCTCATTTTATTTCTCAATTTAATAGTCGTAGATTGTTCATCTTAATGAAGGACTTTACAGGCATAGATCCACAGGTAAATGTGAACGTATCCATAAATATCAACCGTAAACTGTTCATTTTAATGTTCATCTTTTAAATCTTTCTTTTGCTACTGTTTTATATTAATTCAGTATAGAATTTATTTTTGACTAAATTGTAGAATCTTTTTAATAAAATCAAATTAACATTAAAAATTTAATACTCTTTTGGTCAAATATATTAATATAAGAGTTCTTTTTATTTCTTAATTTAAAAGTTGATGCATATTATTAGTCTATATTTGTAACTATGTGAATGTTAATCAACTAAAAAATATATTCAAACTTGATAAATGAGATTTGACAACGTATAATGTGAATCTAGACGGGACCCGTGCGATAGCACGGATATCTTAGAGCATAAATATCATTGTTTTTTTTTAAGAAGTATATAATTTTTCCTATTTGTTCATGCAGACGTGATTTGTTGATAGGACCGACGCTTGCTACAAATATGGAGTTAAATGGCAACATGATTTACATGAGACATATACTCAACTGAAAACATGGTAACATACTTAATAATTTAATAATCTATAAATGTAATGTGAATCCAGACGAGACTCGTGCGATAGCACGGGTTTGTTACTAGTAATATAAAAAAAGAAAAATTGAAATAAAACCCCTTAAATTGGACCGGTTGGACGGACCGAAGCGGACAGAACCGAACCAGTCCACCCATCCTCTTCATTCTTCCCATGAAAGCACAACGTGAAAACGAGACAGCAAGGGAGGAAAACGATAATGGCGCTTGGCAGCTTGCTCGGTGGTGCTTCGGGTGGCGGCCGGCCGGATGGCCCTGTGCTGCGGCGGCGCCACCCCCCATTGGGGCTCTTTTGTCTTCTCTCTCGTGTACTCTAATGGTGTTCTATCCATTAATGAGTTTCAAGGTAAAAATGCAAAAATCAATTTTTTAGCTTCTCTTGATTCAAAAACAGAGTTTTGGTGTGGATTCTCATGGTTTTTTCAATTCTATGCACTATTTTTATGCCATTGTCAATAATGGGGTTTGAAATGGTGAAAAAACGGTGAAATGGTTAATTCCCAAAATTGTGAAAAATGATATGTTTATATAGGTTTTATGGTTGAATGAGAACCCTTGGATTGTGATCCAAGTAAAGCTTTTACCAATGGTTGAAAATTGATCTAGGACTTAGCTGCGGATCACTAGTTTTAACCCTTGAATCAATTATTAAGGGTGGCTAAGATTGAATGAAAATTTGGCTGAAAAATGGAGGTTGGAATTTGTGTTTGGTAGTTATGGAAGTTAGAGGTAGTTAAGGGTTAATTGTGTAATTGAATGATTGTGAATGCATAGGTAGTTAGAGACATTTGGTGCTTGATTTTTTTGCAAAAGTACCAAGTTGGGATGTGAGGCAAAGAGACACTAACTTACAATTTGAAACTTTGAATTTTTGCATTGATTTTGATGGGTTTTTTTTTACTTAAGTTGTAACCTGTGACTTTAAGTGCTTTTGAGAAGTGCTTTTATATTGAACAGGTGCACTTTTGAATGGTGTAAACTCATGGATTAAATTCTGTTTTTTTTTTTGTGTGTGCATGAAATGGCTTGAATTGCCTTGAGAAATCATGGTTATGAACTTAATGCATGATGCAA